TGAGTAAACCGTAATGTTATCACTCTAGATGATTTAACCATACTGTTATCACCCTAGATGATTTAACCATACTGTTATCACTCTAGATGAGTAAACCATAATGTATTCACTCTAGATGAGTAAACCGTAATGTTATCACTATAGATGAGTTAACCATGAGGTTATCACTCTAGATGAGTAAACCATGATGTTATCACTCTAGATGATTAAACCGTAATGTTATCACTATAGATGAGTAAACCGTAATGCTATCACTCTAGATGATTAAACCGTAATGTTATCACTCTAGATGAGTAAACCGTAATGTTATCACCCTAGATGAGAAAAACCGTAATGTTATCACCCTAGATGAGTAAACCGTTATGTTATCACTCTAGATGAGTAAACCATAATGTTATCACTCTAGATGAGTAAACCGTAATGTTATCACCCTAGATGAGTAAACCGTAATGTTATAACTCTAGATGAGTAAACCGTAATGTTATCACTCTAGATGAGTAAACCATGATGTTATCACTATAGATGAGTAAACCATAATGTTATCACTCTAAATGAGTAAACCATGATGTTATCACCCTAGATGAGTAAACCATAATGTTATCACTCTAGATGAGTAAACCATGATGTTATCGACCTCGATGAGAAAAACCATAATGTTATCACTCTAGATGAGTAAACCGTAATTTTATCACTCTAGATGAGTAAACCGTTATGTTATCACTCTAGATGAGTAAACCGTTATATTATCAATCTAGATGAGTAAACCGTAATGTTATCACCCTAGATGAGTAAACCGTAATGTTAACACTCTAGATGATTTAACCATTATGTATTCACTCTAGATGAGTAAACCATAATGTTATCACCCTAGATGATTTAACCATAATGTTATCACTCTAGATAATTTAACCGTTATGTTATCACTCTAGATGAGTAAACCGTAATGTTATCACTCCAGATGAGTAAACCGTTATGTTATCACTCTAGATGAGTAAACCGTTATATTATCAATCTTGATGAGTAAACCGTAATGTTATCACCCTGGATGAGTAAACCGTTATGTTATCACTCTAGATGAGTAAACCGTTATATTATCAATCTAGATGCGTAAACCGTAATGTTATCACTCTAGATGAGTAAACCGTAATGTTATCACTCTAGATGAGTAAACCATACTGTTATCACCCTAGATGAGTAAACCGTTATGTTATCAATCTAGATGAGTAAACCGTAATGTTATCACTCTAGATGAGTAAACCGTAATGTTATCACTCTAAATGAGTAAACCACAATGTTATCACTCTAGATGAGTAAACCGTTATGTTATCACTCTAGATGAGTAAACCATGATGTTATCACTCTAGATCGTCACCAACATCGCGCGTAACGTCTAATATACATTCGCATAAAACCCATGTCACAATTATAGCCATGATAAACAGTTCACTCAGAAGTGTTTCAAGTTGTTGCTTCAGGGGTATGTTATCTTAACCCTTGACAGACTGGTAGGCAAGGAAGACCGTATAGTAGTATAAACAACGGTCATCCTTTGACCTACTTCACTTGCTGCCCTCTCTGCAAACATTTCAGACAGATTAGTGTAGTTACGATTACTAGGTTGAGAAATTCACATACCTCTTAAGTAGATAGATATTGGGGTGCAATGGACATCAGATCAAGAGAAGTCCAAAGTACATTCGCCTGACTTCGATCCACATATTAGTCCAACTAGTCATCATATAAACCAGAGACGTATATACCACTGTGTTATATACGTCTCTGTATAAACCACGGTTTGGCTCTGCTATTGTGTTATTCTTGGCTACCGTTTCATTCATGGACATCACACTTGATGTGTCGGTACTTAAAGTCAAGTATACATCAAATCGGTTCATTACAACTTAAAAAATTAAAACGAGTACCGGGTAGGTTTATGGAGGATATTTTGGACACCATTTAAGTACGGACATATGACTTTACCTCAAGGTAGTTCAGCATGGTCACGTGGTACATTGTACGTGTCATGAAATTAGGTTCATGCGGTCAACTAGCATCTTTTTGACCTTGATTAAAGTACAAAACACTGTTTGTTTAGGAATAGATATATATTGGGTGCAGATTTATCCATATAAGCCACATACATTTGGTTTGTTTGTGTTTTACGTCCTATTAACAGCTATGGTCATCTTTAAGGACGTTCCACGTTTTGGTGGTGGAGGAAACCCAGAGTTCCCGGAGAAAAACCACGGACCTACGGCCAGTACCTGGCGACTGCCCCACGAAGGCCTCGAACCCGCGGTCCAGTGGTGGGGAGCTAGTGGTACTAGAATGTCAGAAGCCTTAAGCGCTTGGCCACCCCGGCCCCCTTTTTCACATACAATATTTGATATAAGGCACCAATAAGCTAGTGAGTATTTCTAAAAAATTTTCTTCGGGTTGGTAAGTATGGATTATATGAAGGTTTTTTTACTCAACCAATTAAATGTTCTCTGTGACGTTTCGATGAATAGTAAGATATTTACACTGTCAACTTCATCAGACAAATGACCAATGAAGCGTATGCAAACAAAGGTGATTTGAATTCTTTACATGGTATTCCGATTTACCCACTAGCGGTCCAAGAATCTCTGCTAATGATCTGGAAACATTGTAACCAATGGATCCAGTATAGTCCACAATAGGCCTCAGTGGGACTCTCGCACATCTATGACCAAGTGTTAACAAAGCGTAGCTGAATTAAGTCATTTCGGTACATACAATGTATATTACAACTATTGTACATACGTTTCCAGTGTAGCCGAAATAAACATCGATTTTATGGACAACTCATACACATTTTTTGTGTGCATACGCTTCACTGGTCTGATGAAGGTGACAGTGTACATATCGTACTAGTCATCGAAACGTCACATAGAAAATGTTATTGGTTGTGTAAAAAGAACTTCTCATAATTAATCCAGTGAGGTTTTTGCAGTAGCTGCTTTGTCAGGCACTTACTAGTGGTTTATATGCCACCTTGTTAACACCTCTGTGTGTGCATGCAAGAGTATGGGCGTTATTTTTGGTGGGACTGAGCTTCCAGGAGCAACTTTTTCATTGCGACATCTCACTTGAATGTTACTGCTGACACAAGAACATCCAATAAGATTTTATACTCTGCCTACTGGAACCAGTGCTGGTTAGGTAGGAGAGAATACCTTCTCCGAAAATTCTTTCATGCTACAAATGAAATTGAGATATTGATGGCTTGAGTGTTATATACAGCCAAATCTACCCCTGATTATTGCCAAACCAAGGTCCTCAAAAATCCATGTTCCATCTATTTGAATGAAGACATAGTGCAAGGATCCCTGGGAGAGATTGGAGACATGCTTGTGAAAATTGAATAATTTCAGCATTTTGATGCTAAAAAACATGTAAAACTAAGTTCAGAGTGCATAAACTGCCTAACTGATGTATGTACATAATAACGAATGTAATTGTTCTGGTCCAAATATATTTTATGTTGAGCTATATTTTAATGTTATATTTGTTACATCGAGACTTAACTCTGAAAAAGCATTCATTTGATTCAGATACACCTGTTATGATCATTAAACACACCATGCAGTAACTAGATCATTTGACCACAGAATGTAGATTTTGAGTTATTTTCCGACTTGAATGAGGAAGATTGGTAAATTTTGGTCAAAATGAGGGAGTTTCCCTCCTTATGAAGGAGGGTTGACAGCTATGTCAAGATGAAATAAACATTGTTTTGCAAAGATTAAACCATTGGTCACAGTGACCTACTTTTTGCACTTAAAACTCAAGATGTACTAGCATTCAAAATTTAGATACACCAGATGAAGTGTAGAAAATTTGCCCTGGACAATTTTCTTCAAAGGATAAGGTCAAATCTTAAGTCACAGTGACCTACTTTTTGTACTTGACACTCTGCCAACCAAAGTTGTACCTGCATACCAAATCAGGTTACTCCAGGTGAAATGGTGTAGAAGATATGCCCCGGACATACCTTTGGAATGGACAGAATTTAGACATACGGAAAGATGGAGTGCAAACATATAGTCGCCGCTAGGGTACTGGTGGGGGACTAATAATTCAGTGTGGCTGGAGGATAGGAAATATAGTGTTTCATCCACGTCACAGAAGTCCAGTCATGATCACTGGACAAAAATCTGCCTTAAACTGCCAGTTTACAAGACACTGATCAGGCATGGTCAAGTCTTGGAGGTGAGGGGCAATATTTACATCGAATATGATATGACATTAAAGTGAAGTAACACAAACAACCAAAACCTCATATTTTAATTTTTTATTCTTAATCAATAAAAATGACTGGAGATCATATGATTAAATATGAAAGTCTATCTAATTACCTATAGTATTACATTCCTACATTTATATTTCCATCATTCCATTAAATCAGAAAAAATTACAAAACAAAATAACTTCTGACAAGATTTACAATCTTCTAATTTTAACTCAAGAAAAATATTTTTCAACATTTCTAAGATGTAAAGTTCACATAATTTTTTTCTAGATGTATTTTAGAAATCCTCAGATATTAATAGTAAAGTAACTATTTAAGTATAAAGCCAAACAAATACCCCTATTTAATAAAATCACAACAGAAATGTAGCCCGATAATCTGAATGTCACATGTTATGATGATATAATTTCACTCTTGAATAATCTATTATAATCTACACACACATTCACACCACTTACAAAAACACAATGTTTAACTAGTGTCTTTGTGTTAAGTTCATGCTCTGCATCACAAAACACATCACTAGCTGTACAAATAGAAGTAACCTGGGTCTATAAGGAAACGAGAAACACAAAGTTTACAGCAGGTCAGACCCTATTTACTGTCCTGTATTTCCATTGTTCTTCCTGCTGTGACGTCTTCCACTGGATTGACACATGTATCTTCATCACATAAATGCCTGGTCAAATTGTTCATCATGAATGTCCGAATTTCCATTCAGGTGTTTCCGCGTCACTCAAACTTTCCCAATATATCACTGTCTCTGAATAAAAAGTAATCCTGAAACAACAATTACCAAGAATTTGTAAACAGCCATTGAATTCCACAGTCAAAGGTATCAAATATTCTTCAGGAGAGGATAGTTAGACATCTTGAATCTTCCTATAATTAAATATTACAGCTTATGTTCAAGAATTGTTTAATGTAATTCTTGTTTCAAAGAAAATTGAATGCTGACAAAATGGGTTAAAGCAAAGGTAAATTGTCAGCATTCAAGTTTTTTGTGTTTCTTGGTAGATTAATTAGTCTGTGATATTAGCGGAAAATGTATCGGCCCAGGCTGTTGAATTATAGCCCCAGGCTGTGGGATTATAGCCCCAGGCTGTTGGATTATAGCCCCAGGCTGTTGGATTATAGGTCCAGGCTGTTGGATTATAGCCCCAGGCTGTTGGATTATAGCTTAAACTATTGCCATTTGATTTGTGTATAGAGATTTGATTTGTGTATAGGGGTTGTTGGTTGAGTTACCTTGTCCTCTAACACAACCTTGGTGCCACCATACTCGGGCAGCAGAACTCGGTCTCCACTCTTCACACTGGTTGGTACCACATTTCCAGACTGTAAAATAAATGCAAATTTGAAATAATGACTTTCATGAAGTGATTTATCTTTAGTTTTAAATGTTACAAATTTTTGTTTTACAAGAATATTTCAATTATATAATATTATATAAAGATCTAAATGAATTATGCCTTTCTCAAAACTCCTGATGTCCGTTACCTTGTTTCCATTGCCACCAATATGGCCTCCCAAAGCATTGTTTACCTTGTCTCTGTTGCCAGGCCCTACTGCCACTACGGTGGCCTCCCAAAGTATTGTTTACCTTGTCTCTGTTGTCAGGCCCTACTGCCACCACGGTGGCCTCCCAAATCATTGTTTACCTGGTCTCTGTTGTCAGGCCCTACTGCCACCATGGTGGCCTCCCAAAGCATTGTTTACCTGGTCCCTGTTGCCAGGCCCTATTGCCACAACGGAGGCCTCCCAAAGCATTGTTTACCTTAAGCTTGTCTCTGTTGCCAGGCCCTACTGCTACTGGGGTGGCCTCCCAAAGCATTGTTTACCCAATACCTTGTCTCTGTTGCCAGGCCCTACTGCCACCACGGTGGCCTCCCAAAGCATTGTTTACCTTGTCTCTGTTGCCAGGCCCCACAGCCACCACGGTGGCCTCCAACACCTTCCCTGCTGATTTGTCGGGGATCATGATTCCACCTTTTGTTTTCAACTCTGCAGCAAATCTCTCAACCAGGACCCGATCAAACATGGGCAAAAACTTCTTGAATGCTGCTGCCTGTTAATATAAAATGTGTGTAGGCCTGATGGAAATTTTTCGATTACATTGTGTCAGAAGATGTTATTCAATAGATTGCCAAGTCCTTTACATATTATTGGGTCAAAATAGGACCGAATTATTTTTCTATAACTTGACGTTTCCAAAACAAAACAATATAAATCTTAAGCAAAAATTTGAGGGATTCGAGATTGTTTCAATTAAAAGGGAATATACCCATATTTTCCTCAATTAAAGAGACAATCTGGATTGAAAACATGCTTTAGAGTTAGGTACTCCTATAACATAAAAGGCCCATTGATTGGCCGATTTTTGGAATATACTATGGTGTTGAAAAGTGAATATGATACAAAAGTGTCAACAAACCTAAATCAAACTCAAAATCTATAAATGGATTATCTACAGGGGAAAAAATTGAAAAAACAACTGTAAAATATAAACCAAGCACGTTCTATATACATATACTGTACTCGCTAACCATACTTTACAAAATGACTGCCTTGGTTGATGCAGTACAAAATATGGGAAATATATGAACTTGTCTATTATATTGACCAACTTAACCCATTGTCTTAGCTTTAGCTATGAACAAATAACTGATCATCTGAATTATGTCTGAGGTAACAAGGCTCCTGTCAAAAGTGTTCCATTCTTGTTGGAGGAATTGATTAAGATATTGAATTCAATTTTGTAATGTATTTTGTATTGTTTCCAGAAAGACCCCTTTATTTATTGTAACTGTGAGTTTTCAGTTCCTGATAGCTTCTCTTCAACCTGATAATATGACAGTCATACATGAACGCATGTCTTAACAGAATACATAGGCAGAACATATCAGCTGGATAATCCAAGACCTCATATTATCAGTTCTAAAGAAGAAGATTTTTGGGGCTAGATTTTATCAAAATTAACTACATAGAACCATTTATCGACTTTTTAAACTCAATTGTGACAATGTTAAAGACATTACCTATTTGACAAACATTAAAATTATATGACACTGCGTAAATAATAACATAAAGGGACCCAATTGGAATTAAGCCACAATGTGGCTTTATGGGTCATCCCAGGTAATTATAAAGGCCTAAATTAATCTATTATCTAATCCAATCCAGTTTTAACACCCGACTGATTACTAGTTTTAAGGCATAAATAACTTATAAATAACATCTCATTCTGTGATAATGTATATATTTATGTCCAATCTGCAAAATGTGATATACGTTTATTATTTGCCTTTTACCTGAATAAATATTATTATTAACATTTCAACATAAAACGAAAAAGAGAAAATGATTGCTCCCCCGTCCCCTTCCACGTGTATGACATTGAGCCGGTAGGGACAGTGGCAAGATCAATGCAAACGAACATGCTACTCTAGCATATAACACGGGAATTATTTGCATATAGTTATACTACCTGGCGTTCTTCTGTAAAGTAATTCTTACCATTTTAATTGCGATCTTTACTCTTAAGGACAACGTTAACTGGACACTGCGTAGAAACCTCTGGAAATGAAGCACATGGCATAAACAGATGAGGGCGCATGCGCACAACGAAATTTCTAGCAGGAAATGAATATGGCCCTGCTGGGCATCTTCATTGAACAATTATCTAAATATTTTATACAGGCTATTCACTCGCCCAAAATATATGTTGTCATTTACGTCCAATAAGGTATCTTTTAGATAATTACCATATAATTCTCTATAAATTAGCAACATTTTTAATTTATTGATAATAATAATCACATGCACAGTTTTGGGGCCTGTTTCGTTTCTTATTCCGAAAGTCCTTTCGAGAACTCCGAGCGGAAATTAGATCTCCAACACGAACTCGGAACTGTAAGGAAAGACACGCCGGTACCCAACTAACTGGTAAGGGGTTTCTGTTAGAATGTACGTCGTATTCCTTTTTATCGAATGGCGAGCAACTTCGGCACTTATTCAACTTACGTCCTAGCATTTATTGTGCATGCAAAATAACGTAAATTCAGTAAAATAGCAAAACGGAGACCGCATATATAACCGGTCGGACACCACGTGGTTCATGCCCACATGTGCGATACCATGTCATTTTACTGATTGCTTTTGCGTATGTGTCGCTCTTCTTTATTGCATAACAATGCAGAAGGAAACATTGGTGCAAATCAACGGCGGAAATGTTGTGTTGTAATTTTATATGATGCATTAACTAGACTCTCGTGGTTTATATAACCTTCAATGTCATGGGGGAGAATTCATTACTCCAGTAATCAGCTGGTGATGAAACGAATTGTGCAAATTTCATCATTTTGCTAAATAGTTACATAAATATAGGCAGTTGCTCAAATAGAAATTTCACTTGTCCGAAATATGTTTGACCTTGAATAGCAATTTTTGGACAATACTTATGTAAAATATTATGTAAATTTTATTCAGATGATCAATTTACAGTATAATCTACTTTAGCTGGGTACAAAGTTCAAACCATAGATAATATTAAATCCCAAAACGAAATTCAGCTGTCCACCATATCCGATAAAATTCCTCCCCAACACTTGGGTCCTACTTTTAGTTTTGACTTATTATTTCTTTAATTTATCGCACAACTGTTTTGGTATATAATTCAGATAATTAGAGATACCTTTATACTGCAAGAAGAAAGACTATCTCAGGATAATGAAAATCATGATTTAAAAAGTGGCTCAAAAATGTTACGATTAGGTTATGTTCTTTACACTTCTTGATAAAAAATGCAAGCCCAGATTGACCACTTAGTTGCCATGGAAATAATTCATGTTTTTGGTTTACGGTAAAGCATTAGTAACAGACTCTAAAAAACTATGTGGAAAAATTAGGGTGATGAAATGTGACCAATAGGATGCTGGGGTGAAGGGTTACCTTATTTATTTAAATGAATGAGTTTGACCCATCCTTAAGGTCATTGGGGTCAAACATGTTTCAAGGTCACTGGGTTTAAATGTTTATAAATCTGCAGTCAACTTCTTCTGAATAACTAAAAGGCACTGGGTGATGATATCTTACTAGTAGTATGCTCGGATGAAGGCTGTCAAGCTTGTTAAAATGAAAGACCTTGACCCACTTTCAAAGTCACAGGTCAAATGTTTAAAAAAAAACTATTCAAACAACTTCTTTTGAATAACCAAAAGGCCCAGGGTTAGGTTATTTGGCCAGTTGCCTGCTGGAATGAAGGGCTACCAACGTTTTTTTTGTAAGGTCTGGTCAGGAGAAGGGTGGAATACATAGTGTTTCTGTGAAACAGATTTGGAATGACTAACACCAGTGCCCAGATTAATGGTACATCAAAAATGCAGCCTAGGTTGACAAAGTTGTCATTTTCCATCGAGAGTTTGGATGCACATGTACCTACCTAGTTCAGACCCTGAACTTGCTGTTGATGTTTTACACATTTATTGGTAGTAACCTTGTCTTTTCTACTTTAGATTCCAGCCATGTACCGTCTACCAAGAATTCTACGACCTGTTTTGGCCCGTCAGGTGATTCCTTCCCTGACAAGGTCGTATGCCAAAGATCTCAAATTCGGAGCTGATGCCCGAGCTCTCATGTTGCAAGGTGTGGACACACTCGTCGATGCTGTTGCTGTTACTATGGGACCAAAGGTACTTGTCTTTAGAAAATACAAATGGTAAGCACACTTTGTAATGAAACCTTTGAAGAATCTATATCTAATGTGCGCAAACTAATATTCATTTGAAATTCAGCTCCGCTTTTGAACAGAAATTAGCAGGCAGGTTGGTTTATCGTTTCCTGAAAAACAACAGATTTATCACAAATTGAGTTGATTAATATATCTATACACATACATTTTCTTTTAAATTGATTTCTTAATTTTTTTTTAAAGGGAAGAAATGTCATAATTGAACAAAGTTGGGGAAGCCCTAAGATAACAAAGGATGGTGTAACAGTTGCCAAAGCAATCGACTTGGGTGACAAGTATCAGAATATTGGTGCCAAACTGGTGCAGGATGTCGCCAACAACACCAACGAGGAGGCTGGTGATGGCACAACGACTGCTTCCGTACTTGCCAGGGCCATCGCTAAGGAGGGCTTCGACAAAATCAGCAAGGGAGCTAACCCTGTAGAAATTAGAAGAGGTTATTATCCTGTGATTTTTCAGTTTTGCAGTCAATGGCATTTTTCTCTATTTTGGAAATGGGCCTTTGACTTTGGAATTATGAAAACTGAGTCAAAAGTGTTATTTTTTACCTCAATATGAGTGTCATCTAAAAGATTAAGATTTCCTAATTAATGAAAGTTGATTTAATTTTATATAATTGCAATTCAGATGTCAAAATAAAAAGATAAAAGTTATGAATAAACAAAAAGTATTTTTGGTTGGCTTTTTTGGATAAGCAAATCACAGTTATGGTAAAAGGTTCCTTTTGATGAATTTGTTCTGCCTAGTATTTAATGAAATGATATTTTTTTACTGAAAAAGAAACAAAAGAAGAGTGGGCGGGAAGGCACTCTTTTGTAATACCCCAATAAGAATTTGACAAGTAATCAGTTTAGGAGGATATATATTAGTTGATGCACTATTTCTGTCACTGCTATATAGTTTTACATGTATATATTATCTACACTGATGATTGAACGTTTCTGTATTATTTCTTTAGGTGTCATGGCTGCTGTTGAAGCTATTGTCAATCAGCTGAAGTCCATGTCTAAACCTGTCACTACTCCAGAGGAGATTGCTCAGGTAAACAGTATTTACATGACTTTCATCAACTCCTTTCCACATTTACAAATATGCAATGATGTGACACAACTGTAGGTCAAAGTATTGGCTGTCAGTTCAATACCCTTTGTTTCATACCCCTCTTCATCCTCGATACTCCAGGGGTTACGCTCAGTATCCCTTACTGCACCCCTGGAATATGTCATAGCAAAGTTGAATGCACACGGCTAGCTATTTGATTGATCTCTGGTTAATAAATGACCAATTATCAGGCCAATATCTGTCCTTTGTAGATAACAGAGGAGAGACACCGGACATCAATGCCGCCGGTCAAGTTTACCGTTAGCCAGTTGTAATATTCTTATAATGTACAGCAATGAATCACACTGGTCTTCCTGTCTCATCCACAAGGTGGCGTAGACTGAGCCTTTGAATTTGCTATGACATATAACAGGGATGTAGAGAAAAAGAGTGAGCGTAACACCTGTAGTACAAATGCAACATTTTTGTCCAATTAATATTGTCTGTATATTTATTGACTTCCAAGAAATCCAAATGGAGGTGCCAGACATGCCAGTAAGGCTCGGAGATATCTCGAAGATTTGTATTAGCAGTGTGTAGCTGTTTAGAAATATGAAATAAAAGACAGTACGCTGTGCTGAACTTATTGACTGACATGTAAGCTAAAACATGATAAATTCTTTTACTGTAAAAAACATGATACTTGGGCCTGTTCGTTTATGCGGAACAACCAGTTTGACCGTTTATAAATGTAACAATTTTTGGTATAAATCCTGGCGGACATGAAAATGTTTATGCAGGCCTTGCAAGGCTTTGTCAAGGCTCGCCTGAAAGCAGCATTAGATCACTAGGTCCGACCTTGTTAAATAAATGTACAACAGTGGTTTGACCGTTTAAACGAAAACGACCTTGCTTGTTTACATTAGAGAACTTAAGTGTATTTTTGCAGCCCATGTGGCTTAGCGATTTTCATCACCAGTGCTCTTGGTTTATTTGCTTCATTTATATTACAAGTTGCAAATCACATCGTATCATTATATACCAAGACCTCCACATCAGGCCAAACAAAAAGGACATCTGACTTCTGTTCCCTGTTTTGTTGTCTTCTACATCTTTTAAACCATGACATATTAGCTGACAACCAATTCAAGATTCGATAAAAAAAAAGTGATTTTAAGAATGAATAGATTTACCTACATTATGTCCTCTAGTGTTATTTTGAAAGTATTCATTAGAAATATGCAATTTCAATTCGCTATTGGAATAGGATTTGAAATTGTTTAAAAAAACATGATAAAATTTGAATGTTTACGTGACAGGTAGCCACAATTTCTGCAAATGGCGACAGCACTATTGGCAACCTCATATCAACGGCCATGAAGAAAGTGGGCAGAGATGGCGTCATCACAGTGAAGGTAAGAGAAGCTCAAACTGTTTTTTATTTTCCCAAGCTGAATAGATCATTTTGTGTCAAATTGCTGAGTGATTCTATTTCAAACACATTTTAACGGGGGGGGGGGGATAAAAATATCGGAGTAAAATGTCACCAGGGAAAATGATCTTGGTTGGAGCCTCAGACCTCGAGTTATCACAACCATCATAGACACAGGGTACCAAGACTCTTGATGTTAAATATACCTTTTTGAAACTGCTGTATATTATAATTTGACATTAGTGTACATTTAACGATAGTCAAATGGAAAGTTGAAGTACTTGTGTCCAAATTCTTTTCACTTTTCAAGCCCTGGACACTTTATGTCAGATCTGATCGGTTTATATTTCAGGATGGGAAAACTATGAATGATGAGCTAGAAGTCATTGAAGGAATGAAATTTGACAGAGGATACATTTCACCTTACTTCATCAACTCCAGCAAAGGTGAGGATTTATGGAATACAGGTTTCATAATTTCTCTAAGATATGTCTGTACTACAGTGGAATCTTTGTTAAGCGACCACCCAAGGGAAATTAAAAAAAATGGTCGTTTAATAAAGTTTGACCATATTTTGTGCACAACCGAATATAACCAAAGGACTCGTTATACACAGTTCCCATGTTGGTCCAACAGATGGGTTCACGTGTATTATTCCTTTATTTTACGATTGAAACTGGAAGGATAATGCAGTTAAAAAACTTAAAGCCGACACATGTTGTCGGAAAATGGACCGATATTGTTGTTGTTAGTACTTTGGCGTTGAGAAGTTCAGGGATGTTATTAAAGGCTTTTATTAATGATGAGGAATTAGAAACGGTATGTGTGCTAACATAAACATGTTTAGTGTGCAGTTGCACTGATATTTAGTGTTAATTCCGCGCGAGAGTGCTGTTGTAAACATCTCTCAACAGACCCGATTTCAAGGATGAAAACCTGCCAGTGTACTTTATCCAATGACATAGAGGAAATCGTAGGGTTAAAGGTTACATTGCCTAGCAGGACACTCGCGCAATCAAAATGGTTTTACTCAACTGTGATACGTATCGGTCTGTATTTTCACTGCTAAATCAACAATTTTGGCAGTTAGAAAACTTTTTATTTGTTTCTGCACATCAATATTTCAATTATTATAAGTTTGGAAATTTGTTTTGTCCAATTTGTTCGGTTAACTTTGTGAAAATATCGTGAAGTAGCCTTCGTCAAATGTGGTGACGGGTCGCAAATTTGGACTTACACAACTAGTTCAACGACCGTTTGGTATATTTTCGTCGAACATGGTCGCTAAAATGTATCAAATTCATTTTGGAGTCAGTATTTGGTGGTCGCTGGTCTCATTAGACAGATGGTCACTAATACAGTTAAATTACATAGAAAAAGCAGTTGGGGGAAATGAAAAGTGGTCGCATAAAACAGATGGTCGTTTAATACAGATGGTCGCTTGAGCAGATTCGACTGTATTCCAATAGCTGACACCAAGTCAAGTAAATTTAAAGTGAACATTCTCAATCGGTCAATGTTGACTATAAAGATACAGGTATGGCTAATGGAATTTTTTCAAAATCTGTCTGTGGTAAGTAATTGTACATGCTAATTTTGAATATGGTCGTGCATCATATCTACCCAGGAATGTTGTATCTGACACTCTTGGTTGTACACTGATGCTATAGAAATAAATACATGTTCACTTTTCTGGGGTGAACTACTTGTGTCACCCTGGACATTAAAGCATGTAACACTGATAAACATCCTCACAGAATTTCGGGTGCTCTGTATTATGTTGAACAAAATACTGTCAGCATTGATAATAACAGGAGTTTGAATGAAAACAACAATTGCTGAGAATTTAGAGAGAAATATGCATATACTACACGGATAGTCATGGGACTGGCCTCTATCACTGGGATTTTATTTCAAATACTGCTTTTAATTAGAATGTTTCGATGTCATAATTTCTAAACTATCTGGGTAAACAATATCCATAATGTAGGCCTCTTGTTTTGTTTTGTGAAATATTGCATTTATTTCTATGGTCCTACCTTGTCACAAGTATACTGGGGGGGGGGGGGGACATATTTTGTTACCCCTGTCCTGTCACATTGCGGTTGTCGTGGTTCTACTGACTTCATTCTTAACATGCTTCATCATCAAAGATTATGCAAAGGTCAAGTACATGAGGGTCTGCCAAGGTTGCTTTTTGCTATTACAAGTCGACTCACAGGGCCAAGGGGGACATTCCTGTTTAACTGACATTCTCCAGTTTTATTGAAAAAGTAAATGCAACAGGTCTACCCAGGAATGTTGTATCTGACACTCTTGGTTGTATACTGATGCTATAGAAATACATGTTCACTTTCCCGGGGTGAACTACTGGTGTCACCCTGGGCATTAAAACATGTAACACTGATAAATATCCTAACAAATCTTCTGGTTCTCTGTACTATGTTGAACAAAATGCGGTCAGCATTGGTGATAACAGAGTTTTAAAGAAAACAATTGCAGGAATAAAGAGAGAAATATGCATATATGCTACCTGGATAGCACCAGGGACTGGCCCCTATCACTGGGATTATATTTGAAATTTTTAATAAGAATGTTTTGACGTCATTGCTTGAATATCTGGGTGAGCAATAAAGGGCCTGTCAGCTTTTTGTTCTGTTTAGTGAAATATTGTATTTATTTCTATGTATACCCTTGTCTGGTTATACTGGGGGGTTTGGGGGGCATGTGTTGTTACTTATGTCCATCCCATCCCGTCCTGGACTGTTACATTGCAATTAATTTTCGTGACTAAGTTGATTTCATTTCATGACAGATTTCCTCATGAATTTATTATAAAAACATCAAGTATGAGAAGGCCTCAAACGAGTTTGTTTAGGGTCTAAAGGGCAATGTGAAGGTCGCTGTTGTTATAGGTAAACCACAGGGCCAAGAGGACATTCGTATTTTGCTGACGTAAATGCAACAGGTCTACCCTGGAATGTTGTATCTGACACTCTTGGTTGTATACTGATGCTATAGAAATACATGTTCACTTTCCTAGAGTGAACTACTAGTGTCACCCTGGGCATTAAAACATGTAACACTGATAAACATCCACACAATACTTTGGTACTCTATATTGTTGAACCGAAAACAGTCTGATTTGGTGGTACATTAACAGACTGTATGTCGTGTTGTATTTTGTGGATCAGAATTGGGCCTCTTGTTCAGTTTGGTGAAATATTATTACTTGTTCCCATCCTGTCCTGGCCAGTTATATTGCGATTAGTTTTCGTGACTACTGATATCATTTCATAACAGATTTCCTCATTAATTTATTATACAAAGGTCAAGTATGAGAAGGCCTCAATAAGTTTGTATTTCAGGGTCTCGAGGTCAATGCGAAGGTTGCTGTTATAGGTCAACTACAGGGCCAAGAGGTCATTCATGTTTTACAGATGTTTTCTACTTTAATTGAAAAGATACCATGCTTGAAAGGAAAACAGGTGCATCATATCTACCCAGGAATGTTGTATCTGACACTCTTGGTTGTACACTGATGCTATAGAAATACATGTTCACTTTTCTGGGGTGAACTACTGGTGTCACCCTGGACATTAAAACATGTTACACTGATAAACGTCCACACAATACTTTGGTACTCCATATTGTATTGTTGAACGGATAACAATTTGGTTTGGTGGTACATGTAAGAGACTTGACTTATCATGTGGTACTAAGTAGACATCCAAGACCTAACAAAAATATATGATTGTTTCCCGTTACATGCTGGGGAAAAATTAGGGTAGGGTTTTACTTTTTTTTACAATTTTTTATACTTTGATTATCCATGAAATTGAACACCAAATCAAAAAGATCATGCAGACATCACCCATGAAACCACATTGTAGAAGATATTAAAACTAGGTGCCAAAGACAGATTTGCCAGTGATACTTCTTGAATACAGAACAATAAAATATTATTAACAGTAATTATTTATTACAACAGAACAAAACAGTTCTCTTGAAATGATGAATAACAAACACAAACCAATCCAATGCTTCGGCAGATATTTTAACCAAAAAAATGGAAATGGAAATGCTACTATTAAGTCATTGAATAACGTCTGCCACTGAAAGGCCGCTCCCTTCAAAAGTTTGTTCAGATACAGGCTCTGTACTCTCTAGAATAGTGAAGCAATTTGCTTTTGTGTTTGATTCGTGCGAGTGGTATGTTTCAAAAACATCTGCCATTAAATTAGTAGCAGGTACCGCCGCCATCAAACGTTTCTCGTCGTCGTGATCACATTAATTAAACTTTGATGCAAGCACTGCTGTGTGTAGGGAAGCCATCTTAAAACATGGTTCGTGTCAAAAGAGGTCTTGAATACACTGATCTGCTGTATCGCCTAAATGATCCTGATTGTTACAAGCGTCTAAAATGTAAAATGGAAAACTGTAAAAAAAATCCAGAAAATTCTGGAATATTTGCCGTAAAATCATGGGGTCGCGGGGTAAAAGTAGGGTTGGTCGGGTAACCGGAAATAAACATTATTTTTTTTTTGGTAAATTATATGTCGAATAGATTTCTCTATTTTAAGGACATTATTATGTTTTCACTTGACTTGTTGGACTCTATTAGACATATTGACGGGTTGTTCTGTCTTCACAGTATGTTTTGTCACCATAAATTATATTAATCCTTTGTTTCTGGTCACATGAACACAGACTATAATTGACATTGTCTAATAATTAAAGCACCATTCTTCAATCTTTCTTTTCAAAAAGTGAAATTGACACAATTGACGGTAATGTAAATGCGCCAGGTCTGAAATTTCAACATCAATTTATGCCTATTAAAGTTGGTGTCTATTAGATTTTAGTGTTTGTTTAACTTGGACAATGAAAAAGTAGACTGAAATACACATTAGAAGTACAAAGACTCTTTGCTCTGGTATTACAGGTGCCAAATGTGAGTACCAAGACTGTATGGTGTTGTTCAGCGAGAAGAAAATCTCATCCATCCAAGGCATCATCCCAGCCCTAGAACTGGCCAACCAGGCCCGAAAACCCCTGCTTATCATTGCTGAAGACATTGACGGGGAGGCCCTCAGCACCCTCGTTCTTAACAGGTAGGATAAACTTCAGGGCACCTGTTCCTGAAATAAATATATGTATTTGATGTACATAGATGTATGTAAGCTGACATATTAACTTTTGATTTCTCCCACCAGATATTTGGTCAAAAATCAGTCCATACTATGTCGGAACTTCTTTGCTAATAAATATGCTGTATTGTACATTGTTTGCCCACTATTAAAGCTGTCAGATCGTAGGAAAGCTAGTTTTGCACCTTACTCATTCCCCATTTTGCCTTCCCATGACATCTTGGGATTAACTGGTGCACAAAGTAAATGTCAACATGATCATCTGGACTTGCACTTTTCAAGCCTCAGGTATTTGTAGACATACATTCTTCATGGATAGTTCAAAACATTAATTTAAGATATTAAAAGTACCCTCTCTCTATTCATGTCGGGTATAGCTCTTCAATCCTTCAAACAGATATAGGGCTTGGTGGAAATATCCAAGTTGATTTTTCTACATGGGTAAGTTATCTTTAGAATACTGTTTGTGTTCCAGGCTTAAGGTTGGTCTACAAGTGTGTGCCGTCAAAGCTCCCGGGTTTGGTGACAACAGGAAGAACACACTGAAGGACATGGCCATCTTAACTGGAGGAGCCGTAAGCAGATAACCTGATATGATTCCTTTAATAGTCGATGTTTATTTACTTGCAACATTAAAATAGCGCCATATCTAATCTGTTAATTGCTCGTAAGGAGCTTCACATTCAAGGGATGACAGATATATAAAACAAAAAACAGGTGAGTGTAGGAACAATCTTACGCAGCAGGCTCATCTTATCGCACCATCTCATTTAGAATCACTGGAATGTCTCGTGGTGTGTTCTGGAGGTTGGAAGTGTGTTCTGTTCTGCTCGTTATGGGTCTGTAGTTTCAATAATATCTTCATAGTTCTGTAGCACATAACTACTACAGCATTAAGAAATACTGACCCCCAGGCCATATTATACTCCTCTATAAACAAGTAGATAAGGTGGTATTAATTTCAATTTCAAATACATTGTAAATGACCCCTTAATCTCCCTGCTAAGTTTTATAACCTCATTTGTTCCTTGGTTAAGACTTCTTAACCCGACAGTAAAGTGGAATAGGATTTGGCGGCAGTTTTCTGGGGACAGGGTTATTGCAAAGGATCAGTTCAAATTGATTGCTATGATGACTGAAGGACATGGTTTCGTTTTATATTCTGAAAGTTAATGATTACACTTTCCTTGGCTGTCTGAGCAATCAAATGATTCTAGTCCTTTACAGTTCATACTCGTTACAAGTGGCATTTCCTTGTGGAGACAATATTACAGAAATAGATAAGTGATGTATTTTTTTCTTCCTCAGATATTTGGTGATGATGGAGATATGTTCAAACTTGAGGATATCCAGATGCAGGACTTTGGTCAAATTGGTGAGGTGACCATTACCAAGGACGACACCCTTATGATAAGGGTAAGTTCAGTACATGCCTCGACCGAATCCTGTGTTAATTGTTCAAGACAAATCAATTTTAAGGGTATTGGTCGAATGTTAAAAGCCATATTTTGAAGATGAACCCCACTTAAGGATTTTATGTTTGAGTTGTGCTAAGCTTGTGCTCTTTTGTTATCCAGGGTAAGGGTTCCAAAGAAGACGTGGAGAAACGAACAGAGCAGATCAGAGAGGAAATTGACCTCAGCACTTCAGAATATGAAAAAGAAAAACTTTGTGAACGAGTGGCTAAATTGTCGAATGGAGTGGCTGTACTCAAAGTAAGTTTTAAATACAGACCAAGAATGAAAATGCTTAAATCACTGATAAGTGGCTTTGATTGGTGACATTAATTACTGAAATGTATCAAGTCATGGTATTAAGTGTAGAAAGACTAGTGGGTTTTATATGCAATTTTGAACTGCCATGTTAGTTAATACCGAGGCATTATTATGTCATGGACTACCATATCTTATTCTGTGTGATATCAATATGGTGTTGGTGAAAGGAGGAAACTGATGTCATGGACAACCATATCTTATTCTGTGTTTTATCAATATGGTGTTGATGAAAGAATTGATCCCATCATAAATTCAAGGAGAGGGCATTAACGCATTATTCAATTTTATACAATTCTTGCATCACAGCGCACAGTCTGAAGGTCATAGTCTTTGTGATTGATAAATTGTTAATATCGTTCTTCTGTTTTAGATTGGAGGCACCAGTGAAGTGGAGGTTAACGAGAAGAAGGATCGTGTGAATGACGCTCTGAATGCTACTAAAGCCGCTGTTGAGGAAGGCATCGTGCCTGGAGGTGGCACTGCCCTCATCCGTGCTCTGGTCGCTCTTGATAATGTCAAAGGTGAAAATGACGACCAGAACGCAGGTATGTCAATCACGCAGCATTTTATTCAGGTGATATAGTTGGGTGTAGGTTTCCTCTTTTAAACAAGATTTCTTTTTCAATCAGAAGTTTGTTAAAATCAATTCATCACAGATAAAAATCTGTCAAAGTTTTATTTATCCATCTGAGTTAAAGAATCGGACCCAAAAAAAAAGTATTTTAGGGTTTTGTTTAAAATGATACACAATGCAGTATATGACAAATTTTCTTCACAATCTCTAACAGCTTATTGTTTCCTTGTTGATTTTCAGGTATTGAGATAGTTAAGAAAGCATTGAGATTGCCAGCTATAACAATTGTAAAGAACACCGGGGTAGATCCCTATGGTATCGTAGAGAAAATCGCTAATGGAGAGGGTGACTTTGGATACGACGCCTTGAAAGGAGCATTTGTTAACCTGATAGAGAAAGGAATCATTGATCCAACAAAGGTTTGTGAAGTATTGATACTGTCCTCGTCAATCCTACGTTAAATGTATATTGATACTGTCCTCGTCGATCCTACGTTTAATGTATACTGGGAAATTTTCGCATGTTAAACTTTCGCCATTTTTGCCCTCCGTAATAAGGGTGAATTTATCTTTGCCAGTGAAAATGTGTGCACCACACTCTATACATGGTAAAAATTTGTGAAGGATAAAATTAATTCTTCCAGTGAAGGGTGAAAATTTGACTGGGTGTATACATTATATGCAGTTCCTTAAGTATTCTGAATATGTGGTTATTACACAATCTTCAGTATATCTTCAATTTTTCAAAGTGCACATTTTGCATACTCATGTGATATGTGATGGTCCAATATTGGTTGGTTATAACATCCCCTTTTAACAACAAATGAGTGCTTTAGATTTTGTTTTTGTGTGACGGACACTTTACAACAAGATTACTTTGTTTTCCAGGTTGTGCGGACTGCTTTAGTGGATGCTGCAGGAGTTGCCTCTCTTCTCAGTACGGCAGAGTGTGTGGTAACGGAGATTCCAAAACCTGATCCCCCAGCACCAATGGGCGGTGGTGGTGGTATGGGCGGCATGGGAGGCATGGGTGGTATGGGAGGCATGGGATTCTAGGTGTACCAGCCACCAAAACACTTGTGTACATGGGACTTCTTACTGCCAGACAGGCTGTGGTAGTTGTGACTACCAGACTGTCGAGGTGGGAACCAAATGTGATTCCTTTGGGAGCTAAATGGCTCTGGACTTTGTCATATCTGGCCAATGTGAAAGACATATTGATCAGTGGACGCCACTGATGGTTTTACTTTAATTGGACTCGTTAAACTAAACAAGAAATCGTTCACATCATTTTGTCTGAAGACAACTTTCAATTCTTGTACTATTTCAGGAATTTTGGTCAGTGGTTTTCCAGTTTCCTTACATTGAAACGCATTTCCAAGATTCAACTTGCCAATCTTCATCCTTAGTGAACAAAACTTCAGGAATGATAAATAATGAAATCTGCTTCATGAATTAATTTCAATATATTTGAAGAACTATTTTTATCCTCCGAAGTAAATCCATCTTTTCATTATCCACAATAGCGATCATGCACTGTTCATGATTCCAATCATTTGTACTGTCCACTAGGGTTGAATGGATCCAAGGCAGTCCTTCATTCAAAAATCATGGGACCCCATCTTTCTTACAAACCATGTATAAATAAAGTTAATTTAAATTTGTCCTTCAGTACCTTGTATAAGGGTACAAAGGTTTGACCATTACAGAACTTACAAACTACATGTTATCATGTTAACATTGATTAAATCATAATGATGTTTAGGAAATATGCATGTTCATTTTTACAAGATTTTTCATGTTTCATATCATTTCTGACTGCAAGTGTATTGCAGTATGTACACTAGGTCATATGAATTTGGAACAAAATGAGGAATTATACGGGCTGAAATTCACCTGCTTAACGTTTAGTTTTATGAATAGTAGTCGGTTTGTGAACAAATTGTAAAAGAATTGAAGCATTTATTACGTACGGATGCGGTACAACAAGAGTACCGGTATGTGATGCCTACAATAGTCTCTGGCCTACTGAGTTGGGAGGGTTTTATTTTGTCAGTGGGAATTGCTGGTATGGCGATTCATCATATCAAGAACTGGCTGACTGAAGTGGATTGATAAATATGTAGTTTTGCATTCAGTAAGACAGATCAGGTATGCCCATTTGATTGACAACCAATTTGACAGAAATGTTAAGCTTATTCACAAAGAGTGTGTTTTGTGATTAAAAGAACTGTTAGTGATGAAAACTGAACAACCATATCATATTAAGATAAAATAATGGAAGGGTATTGTTTGTTACTCATACAGACACCTTATGCCTCAGTCAGCAACATGAGAGAAATTGTAATTTGCATATGGGCATCAAAGGCATGGGCCAGAGACTTCAGAGGCGATGACACTTATATATGGATACCATGTGGCCAGCGAACTGAGAGGCATTGTGATTTATTTGTAACCAGGTTTTGATTCGATATATTAATTAGTTATTAGGAGCTTGATTACACATCCAAAGACGTAAGAATTACTTTCATTATGTGGAGAATTACAGAATGATGTGTACTTGGTATATTATGTGTTAGTAGATTAAATGTAGGAGATACTGTAGGTGTCCTACGTGTGAAAGTCTGGTGTGATTTTATAAGAAAGTAATAAAAATGGAAAAACTCAACTCTTTCTTCCTTCCTTTTTAGCTCACCTGGTCCGAAGGACCAAGGTGAGCTTATGCCATACTGTGTTGTCTGTACGTCAACAATTTCTTTAAGCGACTTCTTCTTAACCACTGATTGGAATTTAACTAAATTTGACTGGAAGCATCCCTAGGTTGTGGGGATTCAAAATTGTACAAATGGTAGAGCTGACCCCCCAGGGGGCTGAGGGGCGGGGCCAATTGATTGATATCAGCCATATTTGACTGGAAGCATCCCTAGGTGGTGGGGATTCAAAATTGTACAAATGGTGGGGCTGAGGGCGTGGTCAAAAGGGGCAGTTTGGCTATATTGCTATCAACAACTTTTTCTTTAGAACTATGCAAGGATAAAGATCATAGTTGGTCGGAAGCATTCATGGGAGGCAGGGATTCAAAATTGTACAAATGGTGCGGCTGAGCCAAAAGGAGGCAATTTGGCTATATTGATTTAAGCAACTTTGGAACTAAGAGACTGATATCAACCATATTTGACTGGAAGCATTCCTAGGTAGAACAGATTCAAAATTGTACAAATGGTTGGTCTGACCGCTGAGGGGCGGGGCAAATTGGCTATATTGCTATAAACGACTTCTGTAGAACCATGCCATGGATATCGATCATATTTGGTCAGAAGCATTCAAGGGAGGCAGGATTTCAAAATTGTACAAAAGGTGGGGCTGAGGGGCAGGGCCAAAAAAGGTTATTTGGCTATATTGCTATAAACGACTTCTGTAAACCTATGCCATGGATATAGATCATATTTGGTCGGAAGCATTCATGGGAGGCAGGGATTCAAAATTGTACAAATGGTGGGGCTGACTCCCATGGCTAAGGGGTGGGGCCAAAAAAGTTTATTACTTGGAAATGGTTGAGATCCCCACCATATAACCATATATACAATTGTTGAGTATAAAGAGAAGAATGCACATTTGCTTCCAGGATGGCTCTAGGGTCTGGCCCCACCCTTGGAGACATAGTCCCTGGGCCATAATTTTAAAACGGTTGAGATCCCCACCCCAAAACTATATATACAAATGCTGGGCATAAAGAGACGAATGCAGTCATGATATTAGAATAGACCCTGGGGTCTGACCGAACCCCTAGGGACCTAGTTTCTTAGTCACAGCTTCGAAACAGTTGAGATCCCCACCCTATAACCATATATACAATTGCTGAGTATAAAGAAATGAATGCACATATGCTTCCAGGAGGGCCTTGAAGACTGACCCACCCTTGGAGACTTAACCCCTGGGCCATAACTTTAAAACGGTTAAGATCCCCACCCCGAAACTGTGTCTACAAATGCTGGGCAAAAAGAGACAAATGCAGTCATGATATTAGAATAGACCCTGCGGTCTGGCCACAACCCTAGGGACCTAGTTTCTGAGTCAGAGGTTGGAAACAGTTGAGATCCCCACCCCATAACCATACATAAAATTGATGGGCATGACAAATCTGATACAGATATGCTACAAGGATTGGCCTTGGGGTCTGGCAAATTCTCTTGGATCTCATTTGGAGAATATTTTGCCATGATTGCTTAGATGTCCAGGTGAGCGATACAGGTCCTCTGGGCCTCTTGTTTAGCTCACCTTTGAGCGTATATATTGCTATCCGTCTCCGTCCGTCGTCCGTATTTCATTAATATTTCATGGGAAGGTTACTGACATCTCCCTGACAAAGTGTTGTTATTTTTCGTGTCGACAAGAAATCCAATATGGCCGCCACGGCCGCCATTTTGAAAAACAATTTCAAACTTAAAGTCAAGTTCTGCTGGGCCGATTGAACTGAAACTTGGTAGGAATGGTCGACTCATGGTCCTGACAAAGTGTTGTTATTTTTCGGGTCAATCAGAAATCCAATTTGGCCACCATTTTGAAAAACTATTTCAAACTTAAAGTCAAGTTCTGCTGGGCCGATTGAACTGAAACTTGGTAGGAATGATTGACTCATGGTCCTGACAAAGTGTTGTTAGCTCACCTGGCCCGATGGGCCAAGTGAGCTTATGGCATGGTGCGGCGTCCATCGTCCGGCGTCAACTTTTTACTTTAAACAACTTCTTCTCAGTAACCAAAAGGGCTAGGGTGATGGTCTTTGACCAGTAACATGCTGGGATGAAGGGCTACCAAGTTTGTTCAAGTGAATGACCTTTGCCAATTTTTTCTGAATTACTTTAAACTTTACTATTTAGTAAGTCAAGACGCTGATATTTTGCCTGTAGCTTTATTTTAGTCCTCTTTTAAGGCCTACCAAGATTGTTCTAATAAATGACCTTGACTCATATTCAAGGTCACAGGGGTCAAATATGTTTAAAACCTTTAAACAACTTCAAAATAACTGAGAGGCCTAGTGTGATGGTATTTGGCCAGTAACATGCTTGGATGAAGGGCTACCAAGTTTGTTCAAATAAATGACCTTGATTTATATTCAAGGTCACTGGAGTCAAATATCTTTAAAACCTTTAAACGACTTCTTCTGAATAACCAAGAGGCCTAGGGTGATGATATTTGGCCAGTAACATGCTGAGATGAAGGGCTACCAAGTTTGTTCAAATAAATGACCTTGATTTATATTCAAGGTCACTGGGGTCAAATATGTTTAAAACCTTTAAACGACTTCTTCTGAATAACCGAGAGGCCTAGGGTGATGATATTTGGCCAGTAACATGCTGGGATGAAGGGCTACCAAGTTTGTTCAAATGAATGACCTTTGCCAATTTTTTCTGAATTACTTTAAACTTTACTATTTAGTAAGTCAAGACGCTGATATTTTGCCTGTAGCTTTATTTTAGTCCTCTTTTAAGGTTACAATTGTGAGATTAATACCAGGTGAGCGATGCAGGCCCATTGGGCCTCTTGTTATTTTTCGGGTCGTCAGAAATCCAATTTGGCTGCCACGGCTGCTATTTTGAAAATAACTATTTCAAACTTACAAACAAGTTCTAATAGGCCGATTTAACTGAAACTCTGTCTAGGAATGATAGACTCATGGTCCTCACAAACTTAAGTTAACGTTATACTTTACTATTTTTTATTCAAATTGGTACATATTTCAACAACAAAAATAAATACTGTAGGACTCGGGTGAGCGTTAAGGCCCATGTGCCTCTTCTTCAAAATGACTCTTTTTTTCAACAATTGATGTAAATTTGACTGGAAGTATCCCTAGGTGGTGGGAATACTAACTTGTACAAATGGACGTTTTAAACACAACAGTTATGGAAAAATATTTTGCTAGCTTTTAAAAGTACATGTTTCCTTTGTCAAGCAAAGAGTGTAAATAACCCGAGTCTCAAATTTAAACAACTCATTAAGTCACAATGTACCAAGTCAGCTGTCAGAATAATATCAATACATTTGTCCAAAGAGCCTTGATTTGGAGGGGAAGTGAATTGATGAACAGGGACGAGGGGGACACCTGGCAAGTCATAATTTATGACCCCACTAACTTCAACATCCACTAAAGAGACCGAATGAGTGTCTCGCTTGATATTATTTTGACAACTGAGGTTCTATTGTTTAACATTGTTGGTTGACATCTAAAAGGAAAATTATATGTGCTTCATGCCATGCACAAGGCAACTAACCTGGTAATGCATGTCACGCACACACTGCTGATCAACACCGGTTACCTGTATTACGACAAATGCAGATACAATGTATTTTATGATAATTACTGATACTTTTACTAGGCTTGCTGGATTATTTATGAAACACTACCAATACATTTTTAGTCCACCATCATCTGATGGTGTGCTATTCAAATAAACAATTCTTGTTATCACTATTTCTCAGAAAGTACAGGAGGGATCTTTCTCAAATTTCATATGAAGGTTCCCCTTGGTCTGTAGTTGTGCATGTTTTATTTTGAGACTGATCATATAAACAAAATGACGAAGGAAGAATTTTTCAGATCTTTTTTTCATATTGCAATGATCGGTTCTATTTCTTTCACATTAAGTACTGTACAAGTAAATATGTAAAATGACAAACTCACTTTGAAGGTTGTCTTTTATACACATCAGTATTATGATTAGATCAGAAGTTACCTCAAGGTGCATTTACTGTTAAACATGACTCGATCAAACAGATACGAGAAAAGATCAAACTGACCCAGAGTACTCAACCTTATATAAATGAAGGGTCTGGCTTCTCAATGTACAGCAGGATGGGGGGCAATAGAGGTAACCAGAGAAAAATCGTCAAAATTCCTTCAGTAAGAATTAAGTGATCTCTATCATGTAGTCTAGAACACTCAAAATGTGGAAATATTTCCAAAATTACTTTTATTGAGAAAATTTTCCGAAGATTGCTTAAATAACCAGGTGAGCAATACAGGCCATGTGGGTCTCATAATTAGTATATTATATTCTGTATTACTTTAACTTATCTTCAGAAGCAGAATCATAGAAATGATCTTTTGCCAGGCACAAGTCGTGAACAAACAGAAAAAAAGACGGCAAAAACAGTCGGTTAAAGTTTAATATCGCACATAAAAAAAAACATGATAATTTGTGATGCTTACTTAATAAATGGTTACATTCATCACATGGGCTACCAAGGTTTTTCTAGATTTGTTAAATACATGTCCAGCAACAGAGTCTGTGTACATCTAAATCAACGTGACATCTGCTAGTAAGTTGTGGCTGTGTATATGGCCGGCGCTAACACTTCTAATGCCTTCTTATCCTCCATCATTGATTTGACAACCCATGGCAATCCTGATGACATTATGATGATGTATAGATTTCCCATTCCTCTTTTTTGACTTCATCACATCCATAAAAGACTAAAAAAAAAAAGAAATTGTATACATTCGTTAGGAATACATCAAAAGTTAGCAGACGATTCATTAAATATTCTAGGGTGTGCCATTTTTCAACCAAGCCATTTAATCTTTCCACTCATATCCGAATCCTGGTCACGCTTTTCCTGTGGAGCTCGTCCATATTTGGAGAACCCACTATATCTTAGTTATAGGACTCAACATTTTGAAAATGATGGTCAGGACTTGTTTAAACATTCCTACCAAAATCACTACATCATGTGCAGGGTAGCAATGAATCTCAGTATTCTGATTGGCTAAAATCTTTGGCATTTTGAGAAGCTAGGTTATTTTTATTTTAACTGAACATACATCGAATGACCTGAACCTCAAAGAACACTGAATAGGATATTTAGTCTCCATGAATTGAAAATCATATTGGCCATTTTTCATAACAAGGGGTTAAAATATTTCTTGAAGCAGAACTTAAATTATACATACTTCTGCCAGGACAGTTCTGGCATGCCTTCATCGGCACCCTTTTTGAAACCTGCAAAAAAGCAAAACTACGATTTAGTGGCATACTATGGCATAACTTATGATAAATATTGCATCAGTATCGGAAAAGTATGAAGCATTTAGAGAGTAATTCTTCATACAGTAAATCCATTTTCTTTATTATTTTTTGGAAATTCTATTTATGAACAGATTGGCTGCATCGTATAAAACATTTGTAACTGTCATTTAATAACACTGAAATGCATCAGCAATACGATTATACGAGAATAAAATATTCATTCAGATTTTTTTTATAGTTTTGATAGCGACTTCCAGCACTTCATAGTATGGGCAATCAGTTTAAAATCATATGTGATAATCAAACAACGGTTTGTAATTGGAACCCACTGATGATCATTTATAATTTTAGGGAACTGAATACCCAAATAAAGTGAGAATACTTTTTTAGATCAGTACAGACAGGGTTATTAACTACATGTTTACGTCAAGGTTTTTTTACAAGCTAGATTTCATGCTGTACACAGTTTTTATTTTTGTTTTTACATTACCATCAATCATATAATAAAACTCATCAGTGCTTTGGAGTCTTTGTCCTTGACAACCACCACGTTTTCTACGGTATCAGGTCGTTTTGCCATAAATCCCATTTTCCTCGGGTTGTTTCACTCTAAAATATTTATTGGGTGATTTTTAAGTCCTGTTTAGTAGTGTATGGCTAATTTGAAGTTTTTCTACGTCTCCCTTTATTTTGTTATAAGACTCGTTAGATTTGTATACGTGGTCAACTATATCTGCACATACAATGTAGCATGGAATTCTTTCGACAAGACATTTGCTTCTGAAAACCATGGACTTCGATCTAATTCCATGGTGGAACATGATAACAGTAAGCTGTTTCACAATTAAAAACATTTCTACTAACATTCTTAACTTTAAAATCTACAATTATATTAGTGTAAAACAACCTTGGGCGAACTGGATTTAGGGTGAAACAACCTGTGGTACGAGCAGGATGCAGGATTTTGGGCGAAATAACCTGTGGTGTGAACAGGATTTAGGGCGAAACAACCCGGATCCGTTTTCTATGGTTCTCCACTACTTTGAAGGAAGAGGGTCAACAGCGCCACTAATCTAATACTGCAACAGGAGAAGAAGAATATATGGTCAGACCAGGATTTGAACACATGACCTCAAAGGTGTTTAGACGAACACTCTTACCAATTGAGCTACCTGGTCGCCAGTGATTGACCCAATGCAATACAGCATAATTCCACTACACAACATTCCACTATGTAACACTGTCCAATACCACTACATAAACACCAGGGAGCCTTGATTCAATTGCTTCACACAGGCTTGATCATTGAAATACATCTGCAATGCATGCTATGGAGTTTTCACACCTAAATGCTATTCCTGTAACATATTTTGATAAGAGGCCGCTGGATGGCATTAAAGGCCTACATCTCCATCATTAACGTAACAGAAAGAGAGTAGTGTGCTTCCATCGGGGATCAAATCTGTGAGCACTAGTTAAATGGTTCCTAGCCAGACACTCTACCTAGAGCTAATCCTATGTACAATTAAAATCTGCCACAATAACATGACTTTAAACTTGTACAGTTGTCAATGATATGAAGGTTAGTGACAATAGTGTGTAAAGGTACTATTTCTGCAGTATGACAGCCAAACCGAGAAAGGTTTGTAAAATGTTGTAATTATGTCCCAACAGGAGATCCCCACATCAAATGGGGCTCTCCTGCTGCCATGCTTGGAAAGAAAAAAAATTGAGGTCCAGTATACATTTTAAGCAGGGACCTTGGGTCTCACTTAAAAGCGCCTTCAACCGACAACAAGCGTCTTCAAGTGACAACAAGCGTCGCCAGACAAAATCTTCAAAAATACTGAATAAAGTAAGCGACATCAGAAGATATGTTGTTAATATGACAATAATACACCTCTGTACCAAATTTCAATTTGATATTTGAAAAATTGACCGAGTTATGATGAATTGAATTTTTACGATCGCGGCGTGGCACATGTGTGTATTAGCTTGAAAAGTGTAGAAAGCGTCGCCAGATAACATCGTTACAATTACCCGCTAAAGTAAGCGACATCAGAAGATATGTTATTAGTTAGGCTTTTATTGATATATATTCCAAATTTCGGCTCGATATTTGAAGAAATGATCGAGTTATGATTAATTTATTATTACGATCGGCGGCGTGGTATACATGTGTAAATAGAACACTACAGATCGTAAATCGCCTTCAGACAATATTTCGAATATTAACCTATAATGTAAGCGACATCAGAAGATATGATATTCATATAACTATGATACACCTTTATACTAAACTTCAGGTAGAAATTTGAATAAATGACTGAGTAAGGATGTTTTTGATTACTACGATCGACGGCTTGGCACACGTGTGTGAATAGAACTCGACAGATTGTGAAGCGTCTTCAAACTATATCTCTAAAATTAATCGATTAAGTAAGCGACATCAGAAGAAATGTTATTCATATAACTATGCTACACCTTTATACCAAACTTCAGGTAGATTTGTTAAAAAATGATTGAGCTATCGTGAATTTAATTTTACGAAGCTATACGCCGTGTCACATATGTGTACGTAGGGTAGGGCTTCGCATAGGTGAACACAGTTAGACCGGATTATATTGTAGAACTCTCAGCCACACTCTTGAAACGAGCATGTTACCAGACCCTACGGACGTGGACGTGGTTCTACTCGGGGTCCGTTATATGTTCGTGTGACTGATCGATTTAATGTTAGTGTTTAAAAAAAATCCCTAAATACCTATAAGTTTAAATGAAGACTACACTAACATTTAATGGTTATTGTTGTAAAGGTACAGCTGAAAAATACAATCGTTTTAAACTTCTTTTGAAATAACTGACACACATGTGTAAATATCGGTATTTCATATAATCAAATACATTTTGTTTGTATACGTAAGAATAACTGTTTCTCTGGAACAGGACCAAGCATAATAGGAGAATTTTCCTTACATTTCCTAACCAAGTTGGGGTTATTAAAAACCAAGGCAGTAACGAAGCATGGTCCAAGGTTAAATGTCCTATCAATTCCTAAAATTGCGCCGTTTTTGGTACAAGCGGTTTTCATATCCGTCAGCTGGTTGTCGGTATAAAGGATAACTGAAGGGGGTTTCCCTTTTGTCACAATTACTTCTCGAATGAAATTGCTGTCATGGATTTCATTGATAACATTTAAAAGTCCGTCCGCCGTATTTTGACTATAACTGTTTGGTTGTTTGTCGTCACGGTTTTTTTTCTGCAAAAGATACTTGGCATTGTGAATTTGCCTAAGGTCTCTGGGTTCATTCATAGAATCGTCCAGTGACTTAATGTCGTCTAGAATGACTTTTGGAGCCTGTTTGTTAATTAACCTATCGTGTATCGACTCCTTTGTAGCGAGAGTTGCGCGCTGATACTCTTGTTTTGTATGTTTAGAACGGCCGTGGATAGAGGGTTGTGAAGGAAATATTCCTAAATACTCTGCAATAGCAATGTTCATCGCGTCAAACCCTGGCATTCTGTCGAACCAACTTATATGTTTTTTATAGGACGCGTCGCGTTCAAGGGTCGAGTAATACCGTTTCAGTACAAAAATCTCGTCCAATTGTGGCTGTGGGTTAAGTGGTACGGTTTTTTGTTTCACCATCTTACAAAACATATCTCACTCTACATAGTGATGTATTCAAGAAGTTTATGACCACCGATGTCTACCGAGTTTTCCTGCAGGTTGCAGGAAATGACATCACTGCAATACAGGCAGCACCCCAAAGTCCACTTCTGGTCCTTGCGGGGGCCGAGGCGCCTCAAAAGGTCAGACTTTGTTCTTGGCGGTTCTCCAGACAGGTTCGACTAGCGTTGTTCTGTCAAAGACTGTGCTAGTCGCCTGCTTAAACGGCCCTTTTCAGGGCCACCATCTTTCTCAAAAAGTCCTGAGAAACTTGAAAATTACGCATTCCCATCCCCCTCCCACTATATTATTTCAGGGACGTATATACTGTCCCTGATTAGTTATAATAAAAATATAATTAAACACATTGTTAAATGTATTCTTAATCGGTTACAGTTAAAATCTAAATTGTTCAATAAATGCAATAATGTTATTCTTGACACAGCTGATTAACGTTGTATCAATGTTTATAGAGCAATATATTCTAACTGTGTTCACCTATGCCAGAGACGTATAACACATACACAACGTCTCTGCCTATGCGAAGCCCTATACCCTACGTACACATATGTGGCACGGCGTATAGCTTAATATCTGTACATCGTATGAATTAAATTCACGATAACTCAATCATTTTTCAACAAATCAAATTAAAATTTGGTATATAGTTGTATCATAGTCATATGAATAACATATCTCATGATGTCGCTTACTTTATCAATTATTTAAAGAGATACAGTTTGAAGACGCTTCACAATCTGTCGAGTTCTATTCACACACGTGTGCCAAGCCGTCGATCGTAATAATCAAAAACATCATGAATCAGTCATTTATTAAAATTTCTACCTGAAGTTTGGTATGAAGGTGTATCATAGTTATATGAATAACATATCTTCTGATGTCGCCTACTTTAGCGGGTAATTGTAACGATATTATCTGGCGACGCTTTCTTCACTTTACATGCTAATACACACATGTGCCACGCCGCGATCGTAAAAATTCAATTCATCATAACTCGGGCATTTTATCAAATATCAAATTGAAATTTGGTACAGAGGTGTATTATAGTCATATTAACAACATATCTTCTGATGTCGCTTACTTTATTCAGTATTTTTAAAGATTTTGTCTGGCGACGCTTGTTGTCACTTGAAGACGCTTGTTGTCGGTTGAAGACGCTTTTAAGTGAGACCGGGAACCTTGACCTCTGACGAAATTGACAAAATGCAAAAAAAACCTCTTCAGAGACAAAAACTACAGGCATTTGCAACGACACTTTTGTTTATAACAAGCAGAGAATGAGCTAGAAAATATTAAGCAGAGTTATGCAGAGTTGGGATGGCGGATTCATCAAGACGTTTCGTTAGACGGTAGGCTAGGCTACTCGGTCGTTGCATACGACGATTTAGGATTACAAATATAACAACAGATAATACATACCTAAGTAAATCACAGTTGGGAGGAAGCCATACTGAAACGTCACCCTTGCAAGATCTAAAACTGTAGATACCCTCTTTTTCATCTCAGGACTCATCTTGAATTCGTAAATCTGTGTAAATCTGTAGACATGTGCAACTAGATAGCGGACAGGAGAAAGGAAGTTAACGCAGAAATATAAACAAGAATCCGTACTTCTGTACCAATATTCCGGATTGCTTGGTTGTCCCTTCTCTTCGCTTGGCGTGATCTCGGAACTAATGAAATTAGATATCTAAAAGAAAAAGTAAACATATTGCTATGTTAACGTTAAACACTAGAGTATATAATAATAATATTTATTCGGTAAAAGCAAGATACAGGTACAAATATCACATATGATCACAGATTGCAATTTCATAATAATCACAGATTTATCACAGTATTTAGATTATCACATCAAAGTTAATATCACAAATTTTGGAGCACTATAATTACAATGTATCTGTTTGACTAAGCTTTAACCTAGGATATCCCATGAAAGCTGGGTGGCAGCTTATTTCCATTGGGGTCCTCTAGTATAGATCTTAATTACTTAGATAACAAAAGGTCCTAAGGATTTGACCTTATAATATGAATATAAGATGGTATAATTTCTCGTAATAATATATATATACACCTATTATTAGACAAAAATGGTGTTGTGGTACGTGGGTGGGGTGGGGGTTAAATAATTAACAGTAATATTGAATGATGTAGTAGGGAAAACTCAAAACTGAAGGAACTGAACTGATAAAATGTAAAAATATAAGAGCCTCCTAAACCACACGATATAGGTAACACATCAGAAAGTCATCCACGAATGGCTTATTTTGTTTTTCACTTAATGACCACCTATCAACATAAAGTGACCACCTTTCAACATAAAGTGACCACCTATCAACATAAAGTGGTCATGTTATGCTGATGCAGGGTTAGGGCCAAAAATCATGAAAAATACATTTTTGATTTTTTGATATAGATTCCTCTTAAAAAAGTATTGAATGAAGTGTGAAAAAACTAGCAATTTATTTATCTTGCTAAAGTTTCGCTTCTTGTACTGTATACATTGTAAATTGATCATAAAAAACATTGTCTGTATTTATTCAAAAAAAAATGTAGATCTATATCACTTCAACTTCTTTAAAACAATTTTCAAGTTGCACCATACATTCTATTGGCCTTGTAAATGTTTATACGCTTTAGAAGCGTACCTAACACCGAAGCTATACTCAAGTCTTTCTCTAGACTTCCTTTATCTTTTAGTGGTATCTCGATCACCAATTATCTTTATACTGATGATGTCTACGCGTGCGCCATTTTGACCGTTATCTGACCTTTCCTGATTGATGTCGTTATGATATTTTTGAAGATTTACATTCACTGTCTTATCATTGTAAAATTTGACGTCATCCACAATCAGGAAAGTCATTGGCTCCACTACAGTTGTGTTTTTGACAACAGGTCACCTATGATCTACTGTCTTATTTATTTTCAGTACCTTGTATAACTTCGATATCAACACTTGTTCAGTTAATTGGTGCGCAATTTCCTAGTGCATGTTTGTCTCCATGATAAATATTGTCGTGATTCATCCTTTTTGGAAAATTAGACGTTTTAATCCTAGATAATAACTGACTAACGATAGTTTTAAGTGATTTTGTTATCAAATCCTCAGTTCTCATTAGATTATGGATTTTATTTTTTTTCATTTCAGAATATTTTATTGTTCAGATCTAAAGTACAATCGGGCAACAGGCCTAGTCTATAACAGCCCTCTCCTTACAATATTAAACAGTACATACATATCTGTTTATAGTACATATATAACAACATTTTGCTTTTGAACATTTAACAGTAATATTGTATGATGTAGTTGGGGAAAATGTATCTATAAATAACTGCTATCTTTAATAGAGGAATGCTATAGCATCATTCTGATCGTCTTACACGGACTGGAGGACAGAGGAGACCGATTGTTCGAGTTCGAGTCTGTGTTGGGATCATTCAAGACCGTTGACCAACAGACCAACTCATGTAACAGTTAAACATACAGTTGAGAATCAGCTTATCTAATAACCAATGTACATCTGAATCAATTCCACAATATTTATATTCATATTATCGTCTCGTGTTTGGAAACCATAGAGGACGTTTGAGTATTTAAGCTGTCTTTGGTTAGTATAAAGAGGACAATGGAGGAAAACCAGCACAGTCCTCAACAGGGGAACAACAGTTACACGTAGGGCTATCATGAATAAATCTGAATTCATGTTACTGGCAGAATTTCTTAATTGGCATAGTGCTGTACTAAGTTTTCTATCACCATGGTATCTGAAAAAGGTATTACATAGGAGTCGGGCATCAATAACTGATGGACGTAAGCATTCCTTTTTGAGAGCTCCAAGAGATGACATGACAGTGGAGTTGATGTTCTCGTGTTATCAGGTCACTACGACTTATCTTGGTTAAATATTCAGATTTCCTGCATTGTCTTCGTTACTATGTTTACAGTATTTCTTCTTTGTAGTTTCCCCGGGGCTCGTTTGTGAAGATCGACACTACTGGAAACGTCTTCCAGATAATTCCTGTCTTTTCACTGTCGTGATTGGCTGTGTACTTAGTGCCCTTCCTCGAAGTGTAACTCAGGGATTCCAAACTTTGGTTTTGATTCAGAGTTGGTGGCACACTTCCAGACTTAAGGTACGTTTCAGATTTTTTGATGGATATATTCAATTGTATTTTTGGTTTTACACTTCTTTTATTTGTTTCCTTTAATCTTTTAAAGGATATTGCTTCTTTTCTATATAGTTTGTATTGTGTCGTTAGCAATTGGCTGATTGTTCCACGTGTAAGCAATGGTTCATGTCTTTCGTTCGCCTCTCTAATTGTTTAACCAAGAACTTTGAATGATTCCTTTATGCTCTCCAGACAGACAGGTGTCCAAGATTTCTTTATTAAGATCTGTGTCCCGCTGGAACAATACGATGAATATCGACCATATTTGATTAGTTCTCATATGGCAGCTATTACAAATTGTACAAATCGAAGGTTGGACCACATGGGGCCTGAAGGATGGGCACCAAACGTAAATCAGTGGCGGATCCAGAGGCAAAGCTGGGGGGGTTTCCAAACGTTTTGGGGCGAGACATTTGCCGAGCGAACCGAGGCAACCGACCGAGCGAAGCGAGGGAGTCTGCTGGGGGGGTCCGGGGGCATGCCCCCCGGATTTTTTTTTATTCCTAAGTGTGAAATGGTGCATTCTGGCCACTGAAAATCTGCCTTCACATCTTATTAAATTTGTCTGTTTTATATGAATTTTGCATCAAAATTGACAGTACCCAAATTACTTGAAGCATTCTGGAAGTTTATACAAAGATGCTACAGTAATAAAAATGACCTTTTTTATGTAAGTAATTAATGCTTATCTTAAGACTTTGTATAGCTTTAGTATATGCTTCAAGTTCTTAGTGGCTTCACATCAATTGTTCATGGAATCATCAAAGAAAAACCAAACTAGTAATTGACATTCAGAATGTTTTAATAAATCAAGGATGAATTCTAAAATGAAGAAAATGTACACATCCTTCTTTCACTCACACACACCCACTAACACCCACACACCAACATTCATTCATGTATTCTCAAACATGTTCACAAATACACACTCTTAACACCAAATATAACAATATTATAAATACTCTATCATAAGACCTCAATAAATATTCTCACAAGATCTCATTTAATTACTTTCAGTCATTCTCACATCATCTCAATGTATAACATATACTCTCACACATGACATCAATAAATATTTAAACAAGACTTCAATAAATACTGTACACAAAACAATGAACATTTTAACAAGACCTCAATAAATACCCTATCACAGGACATCAATAGATATTTTAACAAGACCTCAATAAATACTTGACACATAACATCAATAAATACTTTAACAGATCATAAAATAATGTCTTATTTCTTAAAGATATTTTTTATTTTCATCTGTGATTAATATAAATCGAGATTGCTGCTCGTAAGCATCCTCAAGCGATTGATCAAAATGTACATACAGAGGGGCTGACCCAAAAGGGCCCCTTTAACGTCACAACGAGGTTATAATTAGGAAATGGTTGATACATATGCAATTACTAGGAATGAAGGGATGAGTATAATATTTTAGCAGGGTTTACCTCGGGGGGTGTCCCGCCCTTTATGACGAAGCTACCGGATCTCACTAAATAGGTTGAAATCTCCATCCTTCACGGCATATGAAATTGGTCGTTGAGTTAAGTCCACACTATAGGCCTTAGTCCCTGAGCCATAAAATGGAAACGGTTTTGATCCTATTCTTTAACCATAATGGCGTCATGGAAAGGTTTGTCGATGCTACTTTTTCGTTTTCATTTACAGAGTGTACACATGCTAACCACATATTTCTTTGCTGTTTCTCAAATGCATCGGAACCAATACCACGAGGATACAATTACTGGGCAAGAAGTGACGAATACTCTGACAAGGAATGTGCGTTGCTACTTCGTCCTTCGAAACAGTTGAGATCACCGCCTTATGACCATATATATGCTTGCTTGGCACGAAGAGACGAGATGGACACTACAATACTACCAGGGTTAGCTCATTGGTCTGGTCTGGCCCTTTGGTGCCCCCTTTTCCTCCCCGATTGTTAATCATATACTTTTTATAGCGTTTTTATTGCCATTTATCTTTTGCTGATATTTTGTAAGAACCACAAAATATTGCAATGAATTGTAATATTTTTCTTTTAAAAAATAAAACGGCAATAGGTGTATAGATATAAGGCCGTGAGCTATATCGTTTCTGCTTACGACTGATGAATCAACAACAGGTAATCATTTCCACTTGCATTATATCAGCATACCCCGGTTCTGACCAAGAGAACTAAATCAGTTATGTTAACTTTATTCAGGATTTTGTCATGAAGATTCTAAGTAGCACTATTTTCCTGTTCTTATTGTCGATTACGTACATGTTGAGTATACAATAGGATGTCCTTGCACTTCGTCGGTAGTAAATCGAATGTATTCTCGAACACGCGATTCATATTGGGAAATAACACCACTGGTAGAGTTAAATGTCAGATTGACATGTTTATACAACTGTACCCATATGGAAGCCAGGAGTCGCAACGACGCTGAACAAAACCTTTTACAGTTATCACTTTTTACAGTTATCAATCACTTTTTACAGTTATTACTTTTTACAGTTATCACTTTTTACAGTTATTACTTTTTACAGACAGTTATTACTTTTTACAGAACAACTGTTTTACAGTTATCACTTTTTACAATTATCACTTTTTACAGACAGTTATCACTTTTTACAGCTATTACTTTTTACAGTTATCACTTTTTACAGTTATTACTTTTTACAGTTATCACTTTTTACAGTTATTACTTTTTACAGTTATCACTTTTCTTTTTACAGTTATTACTTTTTACAGTTATAACTTTTTCAAAGTAGGCAAGTTTTATGATCACCATCATCATGGGAAATATTCTCTTTCCTTGTGCGATATGAAAGTCGATGTACTTGATTGTGCCCATCAACTTGCCTTGTTGACTAACAAGCAACAAACGATGTTTACCTTTCCGGATTGCGTGTCATAAACATGCACGCTAAGTGTCCTGCAAATGTACCGTGAAACCTCTGAAAATATGTTTCGTTTTAAGTTTACAACTTTTCGTTTTGAATCATTGATGAGATCACACGTTTGAAACATAGTATTTACAGAAGACAATCTCTGTACTGTAATGTTGATAATATCATGATGGTTTTATTTTTACTAAATTCGCGATTGCATCAAAATTCGCGAAAATGTGTACCTCGTGATAGAAAATAGCCAGAACAGCCAGGTTTCACACGTCCGTGATACCAGTTGGATTGAGGAGGTTAGATCTGATCATAATGTTGAAAAATAAGTTCAATAGGTAAAATTGAACTGTTGAAATTAGAAATATTAGTAATTATTAGTTATAATAATGACAAAAAATGACAATGAGTGTAAATGATTTATCAATGGAAATTCATCGTGTATTCTCTTGATTGTATGGGAACTGAATGATAGAATGACTCCAGTTTTATCCCACTCGCAGACCACGAACATTAAAATCTTCACCTCTAGGTCAAAGGTCAAAGAAATGCAAAACTTTGTAATTTTAAAACATGAAATTATAGTGTACTCAAAGTCAAAGGACAAATAAGTGAAAAACATTGTGTAATTGCATACTGACTAGTAAAGCGAGACATATGATTTTGTCCACAAAAATAAATCTGTAGTTTTTAACCGATTATCACAGAAGAAGTTTCGTCTTTTGTGCGCGTTATTGCAGAAGACAGGTATCCATTTTCTCCCATTGGTATTTTCCAAATGTACATATGTGTTTTCGCAAAATCCATTCTTCCAGCCACAAACAAGTCCAAACCGTTCGCAACTAGCCATAGATTCTGTTGGTCATCCATGGCCAACGAGTCCACCCAGCGAAGACTAGTATTGTTGGAGAGGATCATCTCTTGGTTATTCACTTGACCAAATGACCACTTATAAACAGCATTCGTGGTCAAACCGCCGTAATACAAAGCTGTATCAGTGAACACCATTCCGCCCGTGAGGTCAATTTTTCGGCCAACTGTTTCCACATAAAAGATGGCTGATGTATTCCTGAGTACATTTGTCGGTACTCTGTACAGCCAGTAAGCATTCAACGCGCAGTAGTAGACGAAATGGAAGTCCGAGCTCATGGCTATTCCATCAATAGTAACTCGTGTTGTCACATTATTGTCGCCGACTACAATTGTCTCTGTGCCGGGTTCTATTTCCATTGATGCATGTTTGAAATAATACGACGTATCCCGATTATGGTCATACACAATCAGCTTTGCGTCTGCAGAGTCTGTTATATATGCAAATGTGGCGACACCATTGACGTAATCCAAAACAATGTCGTTCATGAAATTTGACGTTCTAGACACAACAGCATCGGGGAACTCGTGCACGTGAACGAGACGATCATTTCGGACGTCATAGATGATCAGTTTAGCAGGACAAATATTTTGCGGCTGGTCCGTTTGGATGTTAATGCGTCCTACGTCTATTATCCACATATAGCCAGTGTTAGGATCAACCTCCATGCTCTGAACATACTGTAGCGCACCACAATCACCCAAAGTCTGCATTCTCCAAGTAGGGTATGGTTCTAAAATGCTTTCTTCTATATTTGTTGGATTTGTAATGATCTTGTTCAGCGTTGATGGGACGCCTGGCTTCCATCTTGGCACCGTCACATAAACGTTTCCATCCAAGACTTTGATCCCAGAAATGACATTATTTTCCACTATGAATTGCTTGTCTGCGATATATTGTTGTTTAACGGTGCTGTTTGGCCAAGAGTAATCCAGGGATTTCCAATGGTAGACAATGTCTTGTCCGTTGGATACACTGTGCATGTACACAGTCCACAGTAGGAACAGGGACACGTTATCTAGTAGAACTGCCATGACAGAATTCCCAACAGCATACATATATCTGGAGCTCGGGTCTCGTTTTTATAGAGCTTCCTACTGGGTAGACGGAGCATTCTTATTGGTTAAATGATGACGTAATGTAACGTGCGTACCTATGACCTATGGATGTTTTAACGAGATTAGGAAGGAAATATTTTTATCACCCCTTAACGGTGTAGACCTTATCCTCTACATATCAATATGTACATTACGAACAAAATGAGTCAACACACACGAGTAGGATCACAGCATGTTGTACATATAAGGGTCGCCATTTCATTATTTGAATCCTAATAGGCGACGTTGATTTGAAAAGCTCTAAAAGGATGAGGTTATCCTTTCGAATATGGTAATTCATTTAACATTTGTGATATTTATAACATATTCGAACATGTTATAACTACACCTCCTACCTTACTTGATTAAACTGAACAAGGTTGCCACTAGAGAGGAACTGAACTAATCTGGCTAAACATATGGTAAATAGAGTAATCTGGCTAAACATATGGTAAATAGTGATCTGGCTAAACATATGGTAAATAGAGTAATCTGGCTAAACATATAGTAAATAGAGTAATCTGGCTAAACATATGGTAAATAGAGTCATCTGGCTAAACATATAGTAAATAGAGTCATCTGGCTAAACATATGGTAAATAGTGATCTGGCTAAACATATGGTAAATAGTCATCTGGCTAAACATATGGTAAATAGTGTAATCTGCCTAAACATATAGTAAATAGAGTCATCTGGCTAAACATATGGTAAATAGAGTAATCTGCCTAAACATATGGTAAATAGAGTAATCTGGCTAAACATATGGTAAATAAGAGTAATCTGGCTAAACGTATGGTAAATAGAGTAATCTGGCTAAACATATGGTAAATAGAGTCATCTGGCTAAACATATGGTAAATAG